AGGGCCCGGAGGGCGGCCTGGAGGAGGTGCTGGCCTCGCTCACGTCGCTGAGCTTCGAACTGGAGCAGATGCGGCGCCCTCCCGGCACAGCTGAGCGCCCGGGCCTCGTATGCAGTGAGCTGCACCGCAACCACCCGCACCTGCCGGATGGTGAGGTCCCGCCCCTGCCTGGGCCCCGGGGGCAGGAAGCCGTCGGGTCCCGCCCCCGACTCACTGACCCCCACCTGGCTCTGCGGCAGGGGAATACTGGATTGACCCCAACCAGGGCTGTGCGCGGGACGCGCTCAGGGTTTTCTGCAACTTCACGGCTGGAGGAGAGACCTGCCTCTATCCCGACAAGAAGTTTGAGACCGTGAGTGCCTGGGCGGGGTGGGGGCAGGGGGCACAGGGAGAAAGAGGGCACCGGAAGCCGTATCGCCCGGGGGCCCGTCCTCCCGCCTCCACCAAAGGCTGTCCCCTGCTTCCCCTCCCTGCCCAACACACACGCAGGCTTTGTCTGGGACCTTATCCTAACTTCATCCGACATTTGTTGAGCACCTGCTGTATGCCAAGGCCTGTGAAGGTCTGAAGGTCTGGGACCACAGCCGAGAATCAAACAAAACAAAACTCTGCTTTTATGGAGCTCACCTTCTACGAGAAAATCTAGTGAAGGAAACAATAATGGTGGCAAATCTTTAAATAGTGCTTTATGTGTGCCAGGCTGTTCTGAGCACTTAGCTGCATCAACACTGAGGCCCAGTTCTGCCATCATCCCCCAGAGAGGGAAACTAAGGCACAGAGAAGTTACCCGAGGATTACCCAAGGCAGGCTCCAGAGTCCCAGCCCTTAACCTCCTGTAGGCACTGCCTCCTGATCCGCTATCTGAGGGGCCTGTGGACTCATTGCCCTCCAGGCTGTGGGCTGGGAGGTGAGACCACCTGGGCCCCCAGGAATACTGGGCTTCTCCGTCAGGCTCAGCAGCAGAGGGCAGTGGGCAGGCAGCAGCAACTCTAGAACCCCGGGTTGGGATATAAACTGGGGGGAACAGGGTTTTTTTCGTCTGCAAAACGGAGCTCAGGAAGGTATGGACTGGCTGTACAGTTGAGTGCTGATGCAATGTATCAGGAACACTGATTAGACACTGACGATGGGCGGTGCTGTGCTAATGCCTCTGCTGCTGGTAAAGTATGTAGCCAGCACAGAACCTGCAAGAATGCATGGTGATGTATGTCCCTCTTATTTATGATTATTTTTGACTGGCCAGAGCCCTGGTTTAGTGGGAGCTCAACCCTCCGCCTCCCCCGCACCCTTACACACTAGTGGATGGGAATACAGACAAGCTCAGACCCCGAGGTCACGTAGGATTTGATCTCTAAACAGTTGCTGGTATCTGAGCCTCTCCCTCCAGCTCAGCTTCCTCCGGCCCAGAGGTGTTGGGGAGGGGTGTGAAGACTGATCCAGGTTTGGGTTCCTCAGACACAGACCGTGAGACAAAGACTTGAGAGCGAGTCATTTATTTGGGAGGAGACCGCAGGAGGCACCAGGAGAGGAGGGGGGAAGTGAGAGGGGACTGGGGGAGGCAGCCGATGAGGGTTAAAATGTCGCCATTGGGCACTGAAGGCTCAGTTCCACTGGGAGACTTCTGGGAGATGGTGTGGAACAGGCACGTGGGGGAGGGAGAGGGAGCTGAGCATTTATCCATCCATTCTTGTCATTGGTGGAGAGCTGCGTCAGAGGGCAGGGACTCCCAACCCCATGGTCTGCCCTGTGCACCGGCCAAGCCAACTCCCATGGCCAGAGAACAACAACAGCTCAAGGGTCCGGGGTATACAGTCTGCAACTTTCAGTGCTGGGAGGTAAATACAGGAAGACATGGCCGGCACCCAGGCCATCTACACTGACTACCCCCTCCCATCCCCAGGTGAAAATGGCCTCCTGGTCCAAGGAAAAGCCGGGAAACTGGTACAGCACATTCCGTCGAGGGAAGAAGGTGAGCGGCTGGAGACCGAGGTGGGGATGTTATGAAAACTGGTGGGAACTGGCATGGGGAGTTGGAGGAGGGGCTCTGAGGGATGAGAGGAACAGGGCAGACTCACCTCTGCCTTCACGGTGATTGCAGGCTTGGTAGGGGTAGCAGACTGGGGGCGGGGGAGGGTGTGTGGAGCGTCAGATGTGAATGGAGGAAGCCCAGGGTATGGTGGAAATCCAGAGGCAGTGCTGCAAGTCCCAGAGGCGTCCTGGTAGCAGTCACAGATCAACTGAGGCCTAAAGAATGAGCTGGGTTAGCAAGTTAGGGAGGACAAGGAAAAGTGTTCCAGGCAGAGGGAACAGCATACACAAAGGTCCAGAGTTAAAAGAGGGTCTGGGGAATTGAAAGAAAAAGCCACTCGCCCTGCTCTAGAAAGTGTGAAGGGGAATGTGGTAAGAAAGGAGGCTGGGGAGGTAGGTGAGGGCTAGGCCCACCTCCCCAGAAAGACCTGTGAGCAGCAGGGAGCCATGGAATGTGTTTCAGTGAGGGAAGGACCCAAATCTAACCTCTCAGTTAGAAAAATGCTTCCGGGGCAGGTGGGGAGGGGGCGGTGACTGGCATGTTGGCCCAAGGGAGTGAAGAGGTGGCCCAGGCTGGAGCTGGTGCTGTGAGGGTGGGGAGGAGGGCATGGCTTGGAAAATCTAAGAGAGAGGCCAATAGGACCTAGTCACTGATGAAATGGAAGGGAGGGAGGAGAAGGTTGGTGGGCTGGTGTCTGGTGACATTCTGAGATATGTAGATGAGAAGAACAGGTTTGATGGGTGGGGGGATTTGGGGTTCAGCTTGGGAACTGTTTACATGACATACGTGTATCTGCCAAGCACTGGGAATGTAGCAGCAAATAATAAACACAGTTCCTGACTTCATGAAGTTGATGCTCTACCGGGAGCATAACCAAGGAAGCGGGCAGACAGGAACCCAAGAAACAAAGCTATAATATAACGTGGGGGTATCTTGGTTTGGGTTCCCCCCAAAACAGACCCTTCCACACAGACTCAGTTGCAAGTACTTTATCTGGGAGGTGATTCCAGAAAACATCGGTGGGGGCACATGGAAATGATACAGAGATGAGAAGGAGGCCAGAGGGACGTATTACCCAGCAGGCTCTCTCAGGCCCGTGATATGTTAATAATATATTTTATTTGACCCAGTGCATCTAAAATAGTGTCATATCAATATAAAGGTTACTGAGGCATTTAAAATTTCTCCCCTACGAGTTCTGCAGAGTCTGACCCATATTTTACGTTTATAGCACATCGTAATTTGGGCACTAAATTTCATCGGAGGTTCTTGATCCATACTTAGATTTCATAAAATCTGCCTTTGAAAAAGTAGATTCGCATACTCGAGTTGTTCCACACCTAAGTTCTCTGATACCTGGATGGAGGCTCCGTTATTAGTTATGAATTAAAGTAAAAGCATAAATACAAATTTTTAATTAAACAGTTAAGTAACATGGTTGAAAGTTTCCATCTGATTGGCCACATTTCAAGTGCTCGGTAGCCACGTGCGCCCGGGGGGCTCACAGGGGAACCGTGGGGGGCTGGATGGCGGGTAAGGCCACCCCCAAAAAAGGGGATGTGGCAGAGGTCGTGGGTCTGCCAGGGGATGGAGAGCCTGGGAGGGAGGTTCCGCAGAAGGAGTAGGGGTGACTGGGGGCACCCTCACCTCCTGCTTTGTCCCACCCCCAGTTCTCCTACGTGGACGCTGACGGGTCTCCGGTGAACGTGGTGCAGATGACTTTCCTGAAGCTGCTGAGTGCCACAGCCCACCAGAGCTTCACCTACTCCTGCCAGAACTCTGCCGCCTGGCTGGACGAAGCTGCAGGCGACTACGGCCGCTCCCTCCGCTTCCTCGGGGCCAACGGGGAAGAGGTGTCCTTCAACCAGACGACGGCAGCCACCATCGCTGTCCCCTACGATGGCTGCCGGGTAAGGGGAATGGCAGGGGCCGGCCAGAGTGGGGAGAGGCTTTGGCTGCCCTCCTGCTAACTCACTGGTCTGTCTTCCCAGCTCCGCAAGGGACAGACGAAGACCCTCTTGGAGTTCAGTTCTTCCCAAGTGGGGTTTCTGCCTCTGTGGGACGTGGCGGCTACTGACTTCGGCCAGACGAACCAGAAGTTTGGGTTTGAACTGGGCCCTGTCTGCTTTAGCAGCTGAGAGTCTTGGGGTGGGAGGGATAATGAGGGAGCCCCAGACGGGGCACTTTTGGTGCTGAGGCTTTGAAGCCACCGTATTTATCGTGTCCTGTGACTGTGGAGCCAGGGGAGGGTCTGCTCATCACGGTCAAGCAGTCTTCCTTCTCCGTTCCAGGGGGCCGGGGGCTGCACTCCCCTGGCTCAAGTCTAGCCTCCCTTCACTGCACCACAGCTGACATACCGTAGTCTGGCTCTGCCTGCCTGCCCAGCCCTCAGCTCCCCACCCCCGAGGCCCCATGCAATGAACTTCTAACTCAGAGCTGATGAATGCCCCCCCCATGCCTGCCTCCCCGCCCCTCGGTCAGTGCCCCCAACACCTGGTGGTGCTCCCCTTCCCAATAGTTAAGCACTGGATGTCTCCTGATCCCAGGCTGGGACCCCTTCGCTCACTCCTATTTTCAGGTGGGTTCACAGTGAAGGCGCTGAAGTCAGGCTACAGAGGGAAGAGTGGGGCTTCCCTGGACTGAGCTGGGTGCTCCTTCCACTGCCTCAGCCCAGCTCTGAGTACTGCCCCCACCCATATCTCCCTGAACTCCCCTTGCCATGCCAGGTGGTGGGGGAGCCAAGATGGTGGGGGTGAGTCAGGATCCTAATGGTGCTGCCCTATTTATACCTGGGTCTGTATTAAAAGGGAAAATCCCCTCTGTTGTATATTTAATCTGCTTCCTCCTTTAGGGAAGGCTGGGATATGATGAGAGAGATTCTAGCATGATCCCCACCCCTCCGGGGCCATAGGGCATATTTGGCATCTCAAGTCTGAGAATAAACCAGTGAACTGTGTCCCTGTGTCTTTCATCTAGTGCTGCCTATATCTTTCTTAAGGTCAGGCTCTTGTCTCACCTGAGGTTATCTGCCACCACCTGTCTTAATAGTGTCTTTTGGTAGAGGTGGCTTTGGGAGGTGGGGGAAACCAATTATAACGGTACTCACCGGAGACGATGGGTCTGTTTACCATTTCAGAACCCTAGAAGAAGAGTAAATAAAAAATCACCAGATCTCTAAGAGAGATCTTAAATGTTTTCAGCACACAAAAAAGAAATTTTAATTATGTGTTGTGATGCCATTGTTAGCTAATGCTACGGTTGTGATCAGCATACAAGTGTATCAAATCAACAGGTTGTATGCTTAGACTTAGACAATGTCATATGTCAATTCTATGTCAATAAAGCTGGGAAAAAAATGCGAACCTATTAGGAATACACCAAACTTAGAGAGAGAGAGAGAGAGAGAGAGAGAGAGAGAGAGAGAGAGAATAGCTAGATCTTTCTGTTGATCTTGGTTAGTCCTGGAGTCATTGGCTGAGCTGAGGGTGAGGGAATGGATCAAGAGGTGACATGGGATGTGGTTTGGGTTTGAGATGAAATGACTAGAAGTCAAAGATCTGGGTGGCGAGTCAGGAGATGAGTTGGGGGGAGAGAGAATTGAGTTACAAGTTGAGCCTCGGGGTGAGTTGGGTGTTAGAGGGTAGAAGTTGGTCGAGTTATGTTGAAAATGGCTTGAAGATGAGTCATTGGAGGCTGCTTTGGAGTCAGTTGAGTGCGTTTGCGGTGGAGTGATGATGGGATCTGCTGAACTGGAGGTTGGGAAATCAGTGGATTGAGGTAAAGGTCTGGAGTTGGAGGTTGGACTGACGTGAATTAGGGTTGATGTGGGAGGTAGGATGAACGGAGTAGAACTAAGTAGGGGTTGCTATGAATGGGGAGTGAGGATTGACAGTTTGGCAAGTCAAGATGGCATCAGTTAAGATCTGAGTTGGGTTTGAGGCAGCTTGAATTGGACGTTAGATGTTGGGCTGAGGTTTTTTAAAGTAGATTTACTGAGATGTAATTCATTTACCATATAATTCACCCATTTAAGGTATACAATTAAATGGTTTTTAGTACATTCACAGACTTGTGCAACCATCACCACAATCAATTTTAGAAGCTTTCATCACCTCAAAAAGAAATCCCATATCCATTAGCAGTCACTTTCCATTTCCCCCAAACCTTTCAGTGGTAGGCAACCACTAATCTTTCTGTCCCTATGGATTTGCCCATTCTGGGCATTTCATAAATGGAATCATGTAATATGTGGCCCTTTGGTTCTGAGTACTTCATTCCTGTTTATTGCTGAATAATATTCCATTGTCTGGAATTTTTCCATTGTCTGAAACAATTCCATTGTTTATCCATTCATCGGTTGCTGGACATTGCCCAACTGAGTGCCAAATTGGAGTGATGGAGGGCTGGTGTAGTTGAGTTGGATCAGGTGGGATTGGGTAGGTATAGGTTTCAGGTTGGGGTGAATGGTCTCCCTCAAAGTCAGGGCTTACCCTACCACCTCTGCCACCAGGCCCCCACAAGGCCCCCTGAATGCTTGCCCTGGATTCCCTCATGCATTCAATAAATATTACTGGATTGTAACTCTATGAAGAATGTTGGGGCTCAGAGGTTGATTGATGAGTTCACTCATTCATTCATTTACTTAGTTGCTTGTTTTATTGTCTTGACTATTTACTCGGTGCCAGGCACTGTTCCAAATGCTGGGGTAGAAGAGAGATGTGAGGATCTTACTCCTGAGGGAGATGGGCTAGACAGACATACAGCTATGTAATGTGATTTCAGGAAAATCAAACAAGTTATGGCGTGATGGAGTTGTGTAAATTTGAGATGAGGTGGTCACAGGAGATACCTCACTGAAGAGGTAATATTTGAGCACAGAGACCTGAAGGATGAGGGGAAAAGCCATGTGAAATTTGGGGAAGTATCCCCACACACAGAGAAGAACCCAGAAACCCTCAAAAACGAATGAAGACTCTTGAGGAGATGGCATTTCCCTTGGTCCCCTCTTCTCCCAATTTGTTGCTTTTGCTGATTTTTCCACACTGTTCTATCAACCCCACTGTGCACCCAGGCCTGCTTCCCATTTATTTCCTCTTCCAAACCTCCTTAACTCAAGAATGCATATGGTAACACCAATGCTACGTGTTTTCCTCTTCCTGAGAATCCCTAATTGAGAACACATTTCCCAGCTTGCCTTGCAGTTAGGTTGGGGCACGTGCCTGGGTCTTGGCCAGTAGGATGTGGGTAACCATACCACCTCCTGCTTGATCCCCTGAGCTCTTTCAGTCCGTGATGGCCTCGGAGATCACATCTGTAAGTAAGAGGAGGGCCTCCTATGGAACCAGAAAGAAAGGAGCCACTCTCCCTGAGATACTGCTTGCAGGAATACTACGAGGAGAGGTCCATCAATAACTTGATTGCGTTAGGCCCTGGAGATGTTGAAGGGTTGCTTATTACAGCAGCTATTATTAATTATCCTGACGAACCCAGCAAAGGAATCCAACTTTTACTAAAGGTCAGCATGGAAGCGTGCGTGCACACTGGGAGGTCCCATTGCAACAAGGTCAACAACTTAGAATTTAATATGCAATATCTTTGTTCTTGAAAGTCCCCCCACTGTAAATTTGTCACAGCTGGTGTGTTCCCCCCCCCGCCCCCCGCCCAGCCTGGATTTCCCACAATTCTGCTGCCCTCTGCCATCTTTCCCTCCCTGACACCTCGCTTGTCTACCCTCTTCACTCCCTTCCTCTAAGGCTGTCTACACTTAGATCAAATTTATCTCACCTTCTGGGGCACCTGGGTGGCTCAGTCGGTTAAGCATCCAACTCTTGATTTTGGCTCAGGTCGTGATCCCAGGGTCGTGGGATCGAGCCCCACGTCCGGCTCCATGCTGGGCATGGAACCTGCTTGAGATTCTCTCTCTCCCTCTGCCCCTCTCCCTCTGCACTCTTTCTCTCTCTCAAAAAAAATTTTTTTTTAAATCTCACTTTCTTACAAAGAACCATTCACAACATTTCTTGCAGACCACATCTTCACACCCACGCAATCCATGCTTAGCTCAACCAACACTGTTAATAATAAATGACCACTGATCGAGTATCTACATGCCAGGCAGCGTTCATCAAATGTTTCCCCTGGATGAGTTTATATATTTTCATCACAACCTTTGAGGAAGGTTCTGTTATCATCCTCATTTTTTTTAGGTAATGGAACTGGGGAACAGAGAGAGTAACTTGACCGGAGTCTGGAGCTAGAGATTTTGCTAAACAAAAAGCCGTCTTCTCCTTCAGGGGAACTTTCTCCCATTGTTTTAAAAAATTGCTTCTAATACACAGCCCAGGGTTTACAAACACAAGTCGGCCCGCTTCTGGTTTTGCGACTCCAGTCCCACCCCTGGTGCAGGTGTTTTGGAAGGGAGGAACAATTAATAATGTAATGAATACTCTTTGATTAGCTAAAAGCTGGTTGAAGAATTAGAATCTCGGCCCTGCTAAATGAAGGTAATTGACAAAGGTGTAAGGAGGGAATTCTGGGTGGCATATGTATTTACCCAGCATCGTGGCCAGCACCCAGGCGGCTGCTGGGAAAACCCCCAGCTGATTTGCATATTCAGTGGCCATAATTAATCACAGCACTTGTGCTTCCTGAGCGCAAGTGTTCTGAACTGGGGGAGGCAGGGCGGCCAGTGTGAGAGCCGCCTGTGGCTTCACACATGGTTGTAGGGGGTGGGTGGAGTAGCGGATTTAACCCAGACGCACACGGCGTTGGAAATAGTCATGCTCGGTGACATACACCGACCAAGGGCCCACAGAATCAGACCCTCGTCTTGTCCCGCCCCAGATCCCCAGGCCGACTCAGAGAGGCAGTCCCACGTTATATCCAGCCCTACGCCTCCAGCCGGTTCCAGACGTGCTGACACGCATAGCAGGCCACACACACAGTTGTGCCTGGACACACAGCCAAAGCCCACATCTCACACACACACACACACACACACACACGCACACACACACGCACGCAGTCATGTTCATAAACCCACACTTAGATGTGCAGCCACACCTGAGACCCCCGTTGTCAGAATGCGAGCTGCTGCATCCCGGGGTCTGCCAGGCAGGCAGAGGGACACACAGGCCCACACAGGGAGACCTGCCACCAGCACGAACTGCAGGCACGGGCCCAGCTAAACTGACGTCATTCACGTTTCGAGGTCCCCTCCCCCACACCACACATTCATCCATTCGTTGAAGCACCTGCTCTGTGCCAGGTACTACTGTAGGGTCTGGTGATCCAGCAGGGAATAAAACAAGGGTCCATTTGCCCTCGTGGAGTTTACACTCGAGTGGGGCCAACAGGCAGTAAGCAAATACACAGGTGACACGTCAAGTGGTGCTGTGAAGAAAAAGAAGGCAGGGGCGCCTGGGTGGCTCAGGCGGTGAAGCATCAGACTTTGGCTCGGGTCACGATCTCGCGGTTTGTGGGTTCGAGCTCCGTGTCAGGCTCTGTGTTGACAGCTCAGAGCCTAGAACCTGCTTTGGATTCTGTGTCTCCCTCTCTCTCTGCCCCTCCCTTGCTTGCTCTCTCTCTCTCTCTCTCTCTCAAAAATAAACATTAAAAAAAAAAAAAAGAAAAAGAAGGCAGAGAGGAGGATAAGAAAAAGGTGTTCTTTGAGACAGCATAGTCAGGGAAGGCTGCCTGGAGGAGGCATCCTTGAAGCAGAGGCTCACACAGAGAGAGGGAGGGTGCTTTGTGACTTCCCACCGACACTGACAACAAGGTACAGATTTACAAATGGGCATGTGCCATGCAAACTTACAAGGGCCTGTCCCCACAAGAGCGGATGTGTGCCCTTGTGTCCAGGGTGCCCCAGACACCAGAGTTTTCTTTGGAGAGTGTGGGACTGTACCTTAAAGGGACAGGGGAGATCCTAGGGAGACAGCAGAAGCTGAGCAAACAGAG